CTACGTTCCAACCCTCACCTGTGGTCATGAGGTTTGGATCATGACTGAAAGAACAAGATCCTGCTTACAAGTGGATGAAATGAGCTTCCTTTACAGGTTAGCCGGGCTCAGCCATGAAGATAGGGTGAGGAACTCCATCATCTGGAGGAAGCTCAGCGTAGAACCGCTCCTCTGCACCGAAAGTAGTCGGTTAAGGTGGTTCTTGCATCTGATTTGATGCATCCCTTTAGAGTTTATTCGGACACGTCCCACTGGTAGGAGGTCCCAGGGAAGACCCAGAACTTGCTAGAAGGATTATGTATCTTCTCTGGCCTGGGAACACATTGGGATCACCTAAGAGAAGCTGGGGAGCGTCTTTGGGGAGAGGGAGGTCTGGGTTTTTCTTCTGGACCTGTTGCCTCTGCAACCTTACTATGGACAAATGATAGAAGATGGAGATGGCACATCCAGTGCTCCTTTATGTTCTCCATGAGTTATGTAGCTTGTTGCTGCCAAGACAGTCTGTTTTATTTGAATAAATTGAAATTTTCCATCTCAAATTTCTTGCATCAGTCTGCATTCTTGGGTTCTAACCTCAGAAACATGAAGATCATCTTATGCTGAGAGAAGACCAAGTTGTAGTTTTGTTGATTGCCAGCTACCACACCAAATTTTAGCTCAATATCTTTAAAAGTGACAAGGATTTAGCCCATGTTTGTGTTTGCTAAGGCTGATTAGCTGTGTTGGACATTTTGAATCAGGTTCACTTGAACAAGGGTATGTTAAATGAATATTAGCTGAGCTTGATAAAATCCATCCTTTGGTTCATGAAAGATTTTGCTAACAAACAGGACTAACTCCATGTCAAAGACCTCATGCAGTCTGCTGGCTCTCAAAATGTGTTAAAAAGTAAATTTAAAAGTAACTGTCATTTGTACTGATATTGGTTTAGTAGTAGTACTGAGAATCACTTCTAAGAAATAAGCTGTTGTGTGGTGTGCGTTTTTAACTTTCCCCATGAAATAACTATTTCATGCAGTATAAACGTTTACATTAAATCGTTCAGGTGAACCAGAATAAACATTTTTTTAGTCATTTTAAATTATTAAAAGTGTCTTTACTGGGCTTCCCTCTGTTTAGCCGTTAGCTAGTCTCAGATCTTTTCACTGATTCTTCAAGCTAAGATCGCTCGACTGCCACCTACTGCAGGTAAGACGCTGACTAGTCATCACAACTCAACAGAAGCAACCGACCTTTAAAAATCTAAACCCCCTGCAGCTGTAAAGTCTCTGATGTGCAAGGTCACTAATCCTGCTGAACCCCAGAGAGCCTGAGGAGGGTGATCGTGTCGGAACAAAACCCTTTCACTCAGCTGATACAAAGAGCTCTCCATCGTCTCCTCACTGCGCTGCGGGGCGAACAGCTTGTTCCAGGTGATGACTGCTGGAAGCAGAAACTTCTGTCTGTCAGCTATCAAACTGCCAAAAAGCTGCAAAGTGCATTTCAGCTGTTTTCATGAAATAAAACGTTTTGTGTCTTTCTGCATCCATGTTTTATTGAAAGCATCTCCTCTTTGTCAGAACTTTGCAGATGTCTTATGTGAACGCGAGTGCTCCCCTCCACACCCCGTACCTGTGACGTGCTGGCATAACGTTACCCACTTGGACAAACAGAACCGGGGGCAGAAACTGCAAACAGGACCCAGTGCCCAGATAAATGTTTGCATGTGGTTCAGAGCCAACAGTCCTGAGCCACAAAACCGATCCACGTGACTCCAGGTTTCCAGGCCGAGCCCGAGCGCGCTTCATTTCACGTCAGGAAAAACTCTGGAGTTTATTACAAGCTGAATATAGCAGCTGCTGATAAGATCAATAATATAAAATGTGCTTGGATGGCAGAACCAAAACACTTCAACGCTCCAGACTTATTAGGGTTAAAACAACAACTGAGCCATGGAGGGATTATTCTGCAGAAAAATAAGAAAACAGTCCAGTTATTGTTCGATGAACTGTGCCTTTACTTTATAAACACTGCCTCGTGGACGTTTCTCTTCCACGCTCAAGATTTTTTTAATCTAAAATCAACACTTAGCGTTAATTTAAACAATGCATATCACCCGCCGCCTTTCACTAAAGACTCAGATTATATAATCTTATGCTAATACAATAATTAAGTTATAACCATTTTGGTCAAGTGACTTTATTTCCATGATCTGTTGATGCTCAGAATGTATGTTGGAGATGACTGTCAGCTACTACCACACCAGGTTTTACCGCAATATCTATAAATACGATTGAGTTCGTCATTTTTATGTGATAATGTTATAAAGCTCTGCCCGCTTGACCTCAAAAATAGATAAACTGCATTTCCTTTAAAGATGAAACGCTTGTTGCTCGATGGTTTAAGCTGAAAGCTGCTGAAGAAGCTGAAAATTAACTGACTGAAAACAAAAAGTGAAACCGAAATGAGCAGGGGACAGAAATGAAATTAGCAACAAAATAAAAAATATTTTGATAAATTAAAAAATAAATGAGTAGAATAACGTTGAAAAGGGCATAACAGGTTCAAATTGTTAGAAAAAAAATCACAAAAATCTAAAATTTGC